GGTTAAATAAGGAATTCATTACTATCAAGGAAGACCCAGATGCTTTCTATCTTTTTGGTCCCTTATGATTTTGTGATGACTGTGCACCCTAAGTGTTACCTCCCTATGAATCAAGATCCACAAAGGGCATGTCAAAAGTTCTTGTGACCCTTCTAAGAGTGAAGAATATGTTCCTAGAAGTTCCCGGACAGCCCCCCACCTCCATCCCCTCAATCTGGTAGCTCTTCTTTATGCCATGTTACATATAGCTCAGAGTCCCACCACACAGCAATGCCCACATTAATTGCTAACATGACCTTGGAACTACCACGACTGACTGAAAAGAATCAAGATTTACCCCAAGGCTTCTGAGAAGACCCTGAAGCATATCAGAACCTAGATAAAATATTTTATTGGCAAGGAAAAAGAGAAAGAAGAGACAGAAAGTAACCAGAAGTGTAAGAATTGGAAGAGATTTGTATTTTCCTCCCTACCTAGATGATAAGGGTTAAAGAATGTGTCTCATGTCATTTTCATATCCCCAGTAACCAACCAGTATTTTGCCTTCCACAGAAAATGTTTTGGGGAATATGTACAAACACATAATGGTGAAGCTCCTATAATCAGTAAGGCATATGCTTGAAGTTATTTTCTCAAGAGTGGAAATAACTTTGGGGCTCTTCCATAGATGCTTTGTCTCCTAAGCCGTCTCATGTCAATTACTCGGTGTTCAAGAGGGCACCATGGTTTCACTGGGGCAGCAGGCAGCTACCATGTAAGGGAGAAATAAGATCAAATGGATGCGTCTACAGATGGTCAAGACAAATAATACATTCTGTGCATTTTGGACAGTTTCCTCAGGTGTAGCCATGAGATTATATGCCCTGAAGGGCTGTCATAGCACTGAAAGCTAGGAAATATAGTCCTCATCTCCATCTATTCAAGGGGACAATGGCTATTGAAGAATGCCACTGAATTAACAAATAGATCACATTCTGGAACCTTTTTACCCTGGAGGTTGAAGGGAAGACATTAATGATAAATATAAAAACAGGCAATTAATCATCAGCCACTGCAAGAAGAGAAGTTCTTCAGCAGCTTGTGTTAATAGAGGGACTGCTATTTTCGATCTTCTGGTTTTTTTCTATCCCTGGATGCCTTGGGTAATCTGAGACAAACTCAAGGGAATGTAACCAGCCACCCAAAATGAATGCAGCTAAGTGAGAGGTTGCAGAGCTGTGACTCAAGGCAGTATTATGCATTACTCTGAGAAAGAGCTTCAGCTCCCAAGTTCAATCATGGGCTTGGAATGTATTCCAGAGGGTGTTCAGAGCCAGGGAGAAATGATGTCAAATACTAGTTTGAGAAATACCAAGGGTTGAATGACTTATGATGTGTCACTAATATCAGCCTCCAGCGATCCCCTAGCCCCAGGAGATATATTTATTGAATATATTCAAATGGAAATGCAGTTGGTGGATGAAGATGTAATAATGAGGAGTTAAGAATTTTAGGGAACAAAAGTAAATCAGCTTTGAGGCTTAAGGCAGAAAAGGAGATAATAACAGAGAATATGAATACATATGTTTGAAAAATATTTCCATAAATGAAATAAAACATACAGGGAACCTAATATGCATTCCAAGGAATAGGATAATTATGGATAAATGTGGGTTTTCTCAAAGCATGCTTTCCTTGGGAGACTTTCATTTATAATAAAAAGTATTTATTTTAAGAATGAACAATAAGTTTGCCTTGGAGGGATTCTGTTGGTCTCAGGTGTTGGACAATAAAGTCTTTCTCTTTTTTATTCTTTAGTTTTTTCCCCCACATTCCTTTGCATCTCACAAACCCAACTTCATGCCTTTCAAAACATTAACTGATCAACATTCAAAAAATACATCAAATTCCTTCTAATCGTTCTTTGAAAAAAAATATTCACGAGAAAATCCAAGGAAATGTTTCTCAAAACTTTGAACCTCTTATGACGGAATGCTGTAGTGTCTGTTAGGTATTTATCTACTTTGATACACTGGTAAATCTGACTAAATTCATCACACCATCCTTACTAAAGTTAGTAACATTCAACAAGTATTAATGAAATTGATTCAGGGCCGGGCACGGTGGCTCAAGCCTGTAATCCCAGCACTTTGGGAGGCTGAGGCAGGTGGATCACGAGGTCAAGAGATCGAGACCATCCTGGTCAACATCGTGAAACCCCGTCTGTACTAAAAATATAAAAAATTAGCTGGGCACGGTGGCGCATGCCTGTAATCCCAGCTACTCAGGAGGCTGAGGCAGGAGAATTGCCTGAACCCAGGAGGTGGAGGTTGCAGTGAGCCAAGATGGCGCCATTGCACTCCAGCCTGGGTAACAAGAGCGAAACTCCATCTCAAAAAAACAAAGAAAAAAGAAAAAAAAAATTGATTCAGAAATTGTACAATATGTAATTGTGTTGATTTAGTCAATAATCTACTTAAACAATTCTCTAAACAGTACACACACAAAAATCTGCTTTATTCTTTAATACTGGTGCCCTTTTCTGCAGGAGCAAGTATTTTAAATTAATTAACCTGATAATATTTGAATTATTCACTTCCTTTAGCTACGGTAGCTCCCGTTTAAGTTTAAGAATAACATATAAATGTTTGTCTTTTCCCTTTACTCCCACTGTCCCCTTGTCAGACCTTTGTAACTCTTTGCCATGACAATGATCTTTGGGGCAATTATGAATGGCAGTTTGATTAGCCAGCCTCAGGAACTTTCTAGATCATTTTGTCAACGTTTTTGCTTTTCCAAATGCACCTTTGTGTTAAAAACATCCTATTTTTCCAGTAGAGGTAAGTGATTATGCAGGCTCACTTAATCAGCCTTTTATTGTATTTACTAGGGCTTCGTAGAAATCAAAAATATCATCCATTTGTTATGCTGATGGTTGAGTACTATGACATGCATATAAAAATAAAATTAAGCTAGTAGGCTTAATCCCATTTTCTCTTTCCTGTGTCTCCAAGGGGCACATCTTGTCCATTTCAAAGTCATTTTAATAGTTTACATCAATATGTCATTTTTTAACTGGCTATTTAAAAAAAAATGATGGTCAGCCAAATATGGTAATTTATGCCTGTAATCTCAGCACTTCCTGAGGCAGAGGCAGGAGAATCAGTTGAGTCCAGGAGTTTGAGACCAACCTGGGCAACGTAAGGAGACCTTATCTCTAAACAGAATACAAAATTAGTTGGGCATGCTGGGGCACACCTGTGGTCCCGGCTACTTAGGAGGCTGAGGAAGGAGGATGACTTGAGCCCTGGAGGTTGAGGCTACAGTGAGCTATGATCATGCCACCGCACTCCAGCCTGGGTGATAGAGTGAGATCCCATCTCAAAGAAAAAAGAAGAAAAACTTTAAAAAATGATTGGGGCTTATAGAATATAAATCAAAGAAAATATTTAATATGGGAAACGAAAGACTTCAATTCGTATGTTGCTAATGGGCCAGTTGCAAGAGGTATTTATTATGTTTTCAAAAATAATTTATCCTGAAATTAGTGATTTCCATTGACGTAAGTAAAATAGGAGCACTTGGCTTCCATGTCCTGTGTATTGCTGCCCTCAGACTTTTCAGGTGCCTTGATTATAATAATTCCCACCACTTCACTAGGGTATGTTAGTTTTAGTCACAAAAGTTCAATTTTGGTAAAGTTTATCTTTTTCTTCTGTTGCTTGTGCTTTTGGTGTAATATCTACAAAACCATTGCCTAATCCAGGTCACAAAAATTTACTGCTGTGTTTTATCCTAAAGGTTTTGTAGTTTTAGCTCTAAACTTATATCTTATATTCTTGGTCCAATTTGAGTTTAGTTTTATATGGTATTACTATATAAGTTGCTCCTGCAGCTCTTCTTCTTCATCTCCTTTTTTTTTTTTTTTTTTTTTTTTCGCCTGTGGCTATCCAGTTGTCCCAACACTCTACTGAAAAGACTATTCTTTCTGCAATGAACTGTCTTGGCAATTGTTGAAAGTCAGTTGACCGTAAATTGAGGGTTTATTTTGGAAATCTCAATTCTATTTCCATTAATCTATATGTTTATCTTTATGCCAATACCACGTCGTCTTGATTACTGTAGCTTTGTTGTAAGTTTTGAGAAGTGTGATTCCTCCAAATTTGTTCTTATTTTTCAAGATTGCTTTTGGCTATCTAAGGTTTCTTACATTTCCATATGAACTTGGCATCAGCTTGTCAATTAAAAAAAAAAAAAAGTCTGGTGAGATTTTAATAAGAATTGAATCTTTAGACCAATGTGGGGAGTAGTGTCGTCTTAGAAATACAAGTCTTCTGCTTGATGAACATGAGATGTATTTCCACTCATTTGTGCCTTCTTTAGTTTCTTTTAACAATGTTTTGTAATTATTAGAGAACAAGTTTCACACTCCTTTGTTTAATTTAAATTTATATTTACAAAAAGAACACTTTTAAAAACAGAATATTTAGCTTTTCTTGGCATTTGCGTCTTCAGCAAATGTTTCAGAGGCAGCTGACTTATATAATAGAAATTCTTCCAACAAACTCTCATCAGGAGGCAGTCAGAATTAAAAGAAAGTGTTTCAATGCTATAGTCCTGGATCTTCTATCTCCTAGCATTGGAAACTTGGACAACTGATCTCTGTGCCATTTTTATTATGTGAAATAGGTATTTTTTAAAAAAAAATAGTTATGCCACAGAGATTGTTTGATAGATACACAGTCCAAAGACCTGTAATTGGCACATGGTAAATAGCTAACAAACATGCATAGTTGTTATTGTTACATTGTTATTTTTCTCTTTCCCCAAAGCACTGCTAGGAATTCTATTTGAGATTGTGCCATTACCTTCTGCTATGTTGAGGCAGAAGAAAGGCGAAGAATAACTGCTCCAGTCCTTAGACTCTTTGTTTTCCCATTATTGAAGTGTCTTTCTAAGAAAGCACCACTGTCTTCCTTGTTTCACGGGAATCTGGGGTTTGTTTTGTTGGTGTTTTACAGCTGGCCAACTGGCTGGAAACTCCTCTGTTGAGATGTATCGCCAAGTGCTCCTGTCTGGTTGTCGCTGTGTGGAGCTGGACTGCTGGAAGGGACGGACTGCAGAAGAGGAACCTGTCATCACCCATGGCTTCACCATGACAACTGAAATATCTTTCAAGGTAGGGTATATGAATGTTACTAAGAGAGGCAGCTAGGGACACCTGATCCCTTGTGGTTAAAGCCTCATAAGGTAGAAAGTCCCAATGATCACAATTAAATCCATCTTTGCAATTTCAGAGGCCAAAATGTAGCTGTTTATTCATGAATAATTGGCATCAGGTGAATTAATTTATGCTAACCAAATTCTAAGGAAACTGTCTTGTGAAAGGAAATATCCATGTATTTTTGTTCTCTTTAGCACTCTTACTCTTAATTTCTTGCATTTTATTTTTGTGAAATATAACATACATAAAGAATACAGACAACTTATTTATACGCCTTAACTAATGGCTATAAAATATGCATCCATGTAACTACCATCTAATCAAGAAATAGAAACGTGGGGGTACCTGAAACACTTCCATGTATTTATTCCCATCAGAATGGCCTGCTTACCTTCAGAGGTGACCACCATCCTGACTTACAGTGGCCCCTACTTTACACTTCTTTAGAGCACAAAATACAGATTTATGTGCAGCCCTAAATGATGTAGCTTCACCAATTTTTTTCACTTTTAAATTGATTCACACTATAGTATGCATTATTTTGTGACTTACTTTTTTCACTTCACTTCATTTAGAAGGTTCATTAATATTGTTTCATGTTAACTCTAGATTTTTTCTGCTTTCTTTATCATGATGATAATCACTACTGTTAGTTGTTATATAAGATTCCATTCTGTGATGTTAGATTTTAGAATGTTGATATCTATCGGTTAAAGACCCCTAGGAACATACATATGGTCACCTTGGGATTATTTGCTCATACGACGAAGGAGAACACATGTTGTGGGGAGCTGGGATGTCTCAGTAAATGTGTATTAGAGAAGACTTGCAGGACTTGGGCTTATAATAGGTGATTTGGGAAATGATTCAAGGGAGAAGGATTTTGCTATAGATTGAGTGCAGTCGGGAAGCAGAAACAATCCTATGACAGAGTATCTTAATAAATCCTATCTCGGAGGCAGGACTAAAGCTGTTGCTGATAAAGATGCATCAGTCATTCTTGTTGGTGAGGAATGGAGGTGTGTTTGGTCTCTCTTCTCCTTCTACCCTTAGCTCGATATTTTGCATCGTAAAGGGCCACACATTCATGTGTATGGACACCCAAGCCCAGATCGCTAAGGTATGTCCATATCTCCGGCAAAGAGCCATCCCCAGCAGTTTGGGGCTATTAGGGTAGGGGAAATCTGGGGTCCTAGGTACTTGGAGAGTGAGGAGAAAGAAGGTCTGGGCTTCAGGGAGCCTGCTCTCTTGGCTGCCTCAGGCTTTTTTGCCCCTTTAAACGGGAATCAGAAGAGAAGGGCCAAAGGACAACCTCTTGCATTAGGTCCCAAGGCATGAGCCCCATTGCCTGTGATACATGGGTCTCAGGGAAGTACTGGCTCTGGGTCACCAATTCTTATCCGAAGAAACCAAGGAAACAGAGTCCAAGTATGCAGGTAACTAAGGTGAGTGGAGACAAGGCCATTGAAAATGGAAGATCAGAATACTGAGAAGCTAGAATATGGGTTGAATTCAATGTTAATATCACCAAGGTTAATGACAAAGTTTTGGATGAAGAAGACAGTGAGCCACTTACCAACTCTTTGCTGAATGGGGGTGGCTCAGTAGAGAGCAGAAGTGAATAAGAGGTAAAAACTCATTTAGCTGCCTTATATGAACGAGGATTTTTTTTTAGAAGATTTGAAAGGTAATGTTTCACAAGTAGCACTGAGAGAAAAAAGATCCCAAACCCTAGCTTCTAGCTGTGAAACATTTGAGATAATGAGAAAATAAACAGTGATCACCAAAGAGAGCCGCTAACAAGCAGCAGAATTTTCAAGGGACAGGCAAGTTTCTGTTGAGACAGAAGGATTTTTCTGATCAAAGTTGCTATAATAGATAATACTAAAAACACTTTCAGCAGTAATATCATTCACACCTAAAAATATGTGTATTATGTTGTGCCTAAGGAGTTTGACTTTTCATGATTTCTTCAACTTAGCCTACAATGCAATAATTAGAGAAAATAGCACCCTTCACTTAAATTTTACAACAAAGTTTAATATGGGGTTGACATTAATTCTGATTAAAATCTTTAAAAGCGATGTCTGTTCCTGAAATTGAGCACTATTATGAGCCTTGCATTTTCTTAAGTGGAAAATCATTTTTTTTAAATTCATTTCCATAGTCCCGCTCCCTCCCTCTCAGACCTTGCTATTGTCCTTTGTCAACTACTTAAGATACCAGACGAACATAGTGGGGCTCTTTAAGAAAAAGCAGAGACAGAAGACCCTGTTGTGGAGCCAGTGCAGCTTGGGTTCATCTGTCTGTTGATGGATGATGATGCATCCATTCGGGATGATGTCTCCTGGAATGGCAGACAACACACCCTGATGGAGCTGAGAGCTGGTGGCACCGCACACTGTCCCACTGCCAGGAAGACCTGCCACACTTCCCAGGCCACGACCCTGTCTCCCCTCCAGAGACGTTGTGAGGAGCAATTGTTAATTTTTAAATAATTTAAAATCCTCCAAGTTCTCTAAGTTCCTCAGGGGAGAATAAACACCAAGTACACCCTGAGGCGTGTTTATTTTATGTGGAGCATTTGCTTCTTGGCCTCTGCCTGCCATCGAGTCAGCTTGGAGTGACTCTCCTTGTGCACTTGATCATAGAAGTGGTTCTTCAATTACGTCTGTAATCCCAGAGTCACAAGCTGATTGAACATCTCTTCCTTGGCTCTGGGAGCATGGCTTCTCAACCACATCCACACACTTGCCAGTGAGTGAGAGGCTTAAAGACCCAATCTAGACCAGAATACTCTTTCTTTCTCTGTCTGCTAGAGTTGGGAGTAGGGAAATGGCCAGGATGGCTAAAGAGAGGAGTGAATTCATCATCCCAGTTGGTTTTTCCAGCTATTCCTCCTGCTAATGCACATAGCAGGATAGACAGTTCTGGCTGCGATGTGGGTTGGTGATAGTGGGTGAGGATGGATGTGGGAGTAGAAATGTCAACCTATTTTGCAGACAGATAAACAGTAGCAGGGATGCTTTGCATCAGGACTGAGACAAGGGGAAGGCAAGTAAGTCTCCTAGTAAGTAAAATGTAAGGTGGCCTTTGCTCTCAAGGTTGTGTTAGCAGAGAGTTGGCACTAGAAAATGAGTGCCTCTTTAAATTTTGCACTTAGTCACCCCTCTTGCCTCATCCTAGTTCCAACACTGCTTGCATGATTATTAGCATGCAGTCTGCTTTCCCAGAACTCAGTGTGTAAGGTGACTTTGTAAGAAAGAGTAAGAAGGAAAACAGGGCACAAAGCCCTACATAATCTCCAGTTCCCTCATTACCTTGTTTCTTACTGCTTTCCCCCTCACCCAATGGGCTCCAGCTATACTGACTTTGCTGTTCCTTGGCTGTGCCAGGCTCGTCCCACCTCACAACCTTTGCACAGGCTCTTCCCTCTACCTGGAATGCTCTTCCCATAGGTATCTGCCTGGTTCTTCCCTTCCCTCCTTGAAGCCTTCCTCAAATGTCCCCTTCTCAGTAAGGCCTCCTGGGACCAATCTATTTAATACTGTCACCAGCAATCACTCCCACTCCCCACACTACTGACATAACCCCCTACAAGCTCACTTTATAGTAGTGTATTTTCCTGAAGAACTTATCATATCACCTTCTAACCCTCTGCTTAATTTGCTTAATTCCTTGTTTATTGTCTCTTCTTCTGTTAATGCATAAGTGCCACAGACAGGGTTCTTTGTTCTGTTACCTCATCTGTCCCAAGTTCTCTTCTTTGAGCAGAACCTGACATATAGGAGGGGCTCAATAAATGTTTTTAATGAATTTTCCCTTCCCAAAGCAAGTAGATAAAATATAGCATAACCTTCATTTTTAATCTTTCTTGCCTCTGCTCATCAGATAAGTGAATTTGTCTTTCTCCATCCTACAGAGAATATGTTGGTAGGCAGGGAAAACATTCCCCCAGCATTTGCCAGTTTTAGCTGCCCTGAACATTTGGGCCAGATATTCACGGTATAATTAGAGTGTATTCTACAGCTATACTGCACAATGCAGCAGCAAAATAAACTGATTGCAGAGTTTAATTTTATGTCATCCAGTGTATCTGCTTTCAGTATATGTGATCTGAAAAGCTGTGTGATAGATCCCAAACGCAAGAGATCCTACTGGCAGTTGCTCCCTGCTTTCTGGATGGGTCAAAATAAAAAGTTATGTTCTGGGAAAGGAGAATTCAGCCTTTTTATGAAGGGCTTTATGTTTTGTAGGCTGGCTTTATTATTTATCTTATGTCCCTGCTTCTAGGCCTCATCACCTTAGCCTTCCTGGTAGCCATCACCTAGCAATTCATCCCTTGGTCTTCATTCTTTCTTCTCCTGCCTTTCTCTTTACACTTGACACCACCCACCCACCTCCTTCCCAGGGTGGTTTATCTCCCTTCAGGCAGCTTCCTTTTAACCAACAATTATACAGGATGGAAAACTTGGTAATGTAATGAAATATATGAGGAAAATGTATTAAATTTGAGTAGATTAAATCAATCATTTCTGAAAATAAAGCATCATTTATTTCCTGAGAGAAATAATAATTTAGGATGCAATTTCACTGCTACCTAAATGGACATATCAAATGGATATCCAAATACACCCTACTGTTGTATGTCAAGGATAAAGGATTTCAAGGGCAGTTTGTCCCACTGGAGTTTAATAATTGAACCATATGGTTTATAGATTATTGAATCTAGTGTTGCAAGTCTCTGAAAAACAGTTTTGGCTTAATAAGGAGCAGTGGAGCATTACCATACTTTCACACCCAATGACCACCAATTACAGCAAATATGAAAGAGTGAAACTTAAAAGCTAAAACTGGCTTTCTAATCCTGACTGATCATGCACACCATACAAAATATTTCAAAGACAGAAAAGCATGAAGGTTCTCCAGCGGAACTTCTAAAGGTTTTAGTTGCT